TGTGTGCGATGATCTGGATTGGTAAGATGCGTTAAATCAGGAGAATCAGGTTCATCGAAAATATTTACAATATTAATTAGAAAATTATGGTCAGGAGTTTCTGCTTCTATTAGTTTAATACCATGCTTTCCAATAGAAAATTCAGCTTGCTGGATACAATCACTTCCAATAATTGCGTCAACAGATAGGATATTATCTTCAATAACATGAATGTCAGTTTTAAAATTGTATTTTGAATTTTGAAACAACCTGTGAAATATCCTACTGGGTGTACAATGCGATCACCAAGTCCTGATAATGTTATAGAAGATTTTTGAAGCGCTGGAGAACTAATTTTTTGATATGTTGATGTGTTAATTATAGTAGCTTGACTGCCAGTGTCAATCAATGCTGGAATGATAACGTCAGAAATATTGATGTGAATCATCATAGAATGTAGAGGGTGTGACTGTACGACAACTTGATTGAGAATTGTCTCTGATTTTTGTGACGATGGAGGTGATGCACGACTTGGTTTCTGAGTACAAGTAGACGATTTATGGCCAAATGAATCGCATGAAAAACATTTAGGTTGTTTATGAGAACAATTAGAACTTTTATGGCCTTTAGACCCACAATTATAGCAAACTATAGGTTGGGTAGGCTTCTGAGAGATTTTGCTCTCTAAGTGATGAGAATTATTTTGTTTAAATTTCAGATCTCTAGAAAATTTAGCATGTTTGGAAGCAGACACAAGCTTCTCATAAATTTTTAACTTATCTTTGAATTCACTTACAGTTTTACAACCATATAATAAAATTTTGTTAGGGTTTTCTGGAATACCATTTATCACATAATCAAAAATAGAAGACATATCAATTTGACCTCTAGAACCAATTTCTCTCATAGCAATAAAATAATCGAATAACGATTCGTTTGGCTTTAAACGTCTTTTAAACATCAGTTTATGCAAATCTGCACTGTTAAGTTTAGAAGAAAATTCTTCTAACAAATATTCTTTTAACGTAGTAAAAGTTTTGACACCATGTAAAGAATTTACAAAAGTTTTAGCAGAGCCTGATAAGCATTTTTTGGTGAATATAATCTTGTGAACATCATTTGTAATTCTATTCAGTTCAAATAATTCTTCTATGTCAGTTAAAAAAGATTCAATTAAATTATCAGAAGAACCATCAAAAGGTTTAATACATTCGTATAAATCACGAAACGTTATGCTGAATTGTTGTTCATTTACCAGCGATGACATGACAGGCGTATGATGCGTTTATGTAAACAAATACTAGAGCTGGAAGTCTGCGCGTTTTGGCTAGCTGCCAAGGTCGAACAAGTAATTGACTGCGTAGTGGTTTCAAAATCTGTTAGAATCAGAATCGGAAATAGCATTTTCTAATAGCAAATCGAAATTAGTTAAAGCATTCACATTTGTAGTATAACATTCATCAGCGGAAATGGCACATTCTAAATTCAGAACATTAAGAATCGAAATTAGATCAGCCAGAGAGAAAATATTTAATAAACGTTCCTTAACTTCGGCAGTGTGAAAAGAGTTATCGAGTCCTGTGAATTCACGAAGTCGTTTGAGATTTGCTCGGTCGCCTTCTTGACCAAACACAAATTTAAATTTATGTAGTAGCTTAATTGCTTTCGTGGAAGGTGATTTTAAGGATTTAGCGATATGTGGTATATCATTTAAAGCTGACATTGTCACAACTTAACTATTTCGGAGAACACAAGTGAGAAACAAGTTTATACAATAAAATGAACATTGAGTTTCGATTTCGAAAGGAAAAGTTCTGGTTTTTCACACAATTCGTTCTAATGGTAAAAATATAGTTTCAGTTCATCAAAATTGAATTCAAAGAGTCTTTAATTTCACTTCATCAAAATTAAATTTACAATATGCTTATTTGATTCTTAAAGAACAGCTTACCTTGACTGAAGAAGAACCGGTCGAAGCGCCCATGTAAACTCGGCGTCTAGGGGATTTCTACGCTGACGCTGACGACACACATTTAGGTGACTAAGTATTTATTTAGTTATTGATGGAGATACAGTGATGAGTATTTACAAATGAAAAAAAGAGTTATAATTGAGAAGTTAACAGCTTCGCCATCTATTAATACGTCTTAGTCGAAAACATGACTGTTCTCTTTCGTTCCCTCGTCCATCTCTCGTCTCACTGCAATGCCGTTCGTTGTGTTGAGTTGTTGCACTCCTGCTACTCACATATATATATTGTTTTATCTATTATTATTATTTACTTACTTCTGTTCCTTGATCCTTGCTGTCTACCACACTTCTAATTTTGTAGTTAAGACTGATATTTGATACTTTTTGCATAAATTTTTCTGGAAAAGAATTCTAAAATATGTATGAAAAAAGTGAATTTCTTCACAAATTTTAGAATTTCGTTGGTTAGCATATTTTTCTTAGCGAGAAATTTTAGAGCAGGGGTTCTCAATATTTTTTATTCCATGCACCCGTTTCAGCACTGCACCCCTTTCAGAAATTCATTTTCCCTTCCTTTCCTAAACATGAAAAATAGCGTATACATTTATTTAGATTTACATGGTTTTTAACAGGTTTTATTAATTAAACAACAAAAAGTACAGAAAATGCTGATAAATATCAAAACTTGAACAAAAATACTTTTTTTAGGTAACTAATGCAGAACTAAATGCAAAACTGTTAAATGAAAGGTTGACAGCATTTCCCCCTGATACTGAATTCTCTCCTGGTTAAGAACCTCTGTTTTAGAGAGAGAAGAAAAATAAAAATCAGAGCAAAAAGTGCATCTCCTGAAATTATTGAGTGGGTGTATTTATTCAATAATGCTGGTAAGTCTCTCCTCTGGTTTCCAAAGGATTGCTGCTCGCAGTCATTGCCACAGTTTGTTCAAGGACTTCATTCATTCACTATTCGAAATTCCATTTTGGTAAGGGCATTTGAAGGTGAAGCGGAAAATGAGGAGTGAGTACAAAGAGCATTCCTCTTAGCACCCGGCAACCGATGGCATGATGACTCTTTTCACAACGAGAATTAGGATGGAAAAAAGCGCAAATAGTTCGCAAGAATTCTGGAAAGAGTTTGTGGTGATAATTTCTTATTTGATTTTTAACAAAAGTAAGTCTAATAGGAAGAAATTAAAACGTGTCTCTTTTTGTTTGTAAATTGGAGTAGAAAGTTTCCAAAGAGAATTGGAAAAACTAAAAAATGAAAAATAACCTTCAAGTATGTGTTTCGAAATGACCAATAGATTAAATGTTACTCAGTGGAAACATACTTAAATTCACGTTTCATAAACTTCTTTTCAATGACGAGCAACTACAATAAACAAGATTTTAATGCTACTTTTTATACAAATTTGCTTTTGTGCAATGATATACGTCCTTTTGCAAGAAAATGAATTTTAACGCAATTACACATATATTGATTTACATTTTTTTCATAGGAAAAACTAGTTCTCATGTTTTCCTTCTTCAGTGTGTCTCAATTAATAAATGTAACAGCAATGTTTTCTGGTTATAGTTATACCAAAAAAGAACGTTAACGTTTTATAGTTAATTAAACGATAATTGCACTATCAGAGAGAGATATTACAATTAAATTTCTAAGTGCATATAAATAGCAATAGTCTATTAATTACACGTTTGCGCACAATTACTGAATGTTTTTAACAAAAATGGCTGGCTGAAATACGCAGGTTGATTTATAAAATATAATGCAGTTTTTTCGATTGGGCTGGCCTGCCACTGACTCCATGTTTGCCATCCTCTAGTAGTGCCATCTCTTAGAAAAAGTGGTAATTGCGCCACTGCGGCCTCGGTGCTCTTGAAGTTGGTATGTGACTTTAGGGATCAAATGAATTTCTCAAATATTGCAAAGTAAAAGCTGATTCTCATCTCAGAATCCAACATGTGAACCCGCTTTATAAATCCACTCTCTGGTTGGTCGCCGGATTTCCACATGCTAATACTCCTATGCAGTTAGGTTGTAGTCTGCAACAAGAACAAATAGAAATAGATCTATTTTTGCTCATTAAATATTTGCCATAAACTTTTTCTCCTGCTGAGCAGTTAATCTACGAGCAAATCGGAGTTCAGAATATCTTCAAGTTTTTAAGTAAAACGTTGCACTTAGGAACGAATTCTTTGAATGGATTCGCAAAAATAAGTTTAGGTTGAGTAGAGTTAAGGATGCCCCTTGGATTATCGCTAAGTTGTTTCATTTAAGGTAACCTGAGTAGTTGAATGTTATGGAAACTTTATTATGACGTAATTAGTTGCGTGATTGCGTCAATTTTAATGATGGGAAAAGATCTGGAACGTGTGTGTCGGATTTTGGATAAGAAGTACGTTGTTATTTTGTGGTTTACACGGTAAAATGGCTGAAAGATTAATCTGAAGTGTCTGTACGATTTGGAATAAAAGGAAAGCATTCCCCTTCTCGCCGATTGTCACGTCTACGTGCCAGCAACGAACACACTCACTTCCCGGCCGACACGCAGGCGTGCCAGAGCATTTTCCCGTTCAGCCCCGACTGTCATGTATTTGTGCCAGTGTCCTGGAACGTTTTAAAAACTATAATTTCTGCCACAAGATGGCACTGTATGTCCATATGGTTTCCGATACATGTACATTAAACCTTCTACTCGAAATGAGAGAAGCATGACTCACATACACGTGTTTTTGATTATATAAACAAAAGGGGAAATAAATGTTTCCGAATGGCGTGATTTATGACGTCTCTTTAAATTCGCACGTGGTAGTTGTTTATTGTAAGTAGAGAAGTTTTATTTTCGCTAAAGCGTTGGGTATTTCGGTTTGCAGTCCAGTTTTTAGAAAATAATTAGATCTTGTTAGACGTGAATTCTTTCTGTTGTTACCGTTGCAATGTCGAAGCGTCGAAAATGTTTAACAGAGCATGAAATAGCAGAAATGGTGCAAAATATTTCAGATATTGATTCTGAAACAGATTCTGATAGTAGTTATAGTGATACTATGATATATTCTGATCATAAAGAATCTGGCGAATCTAATGATGACGAGGACATTTCGGACATCTGTATGCCGAGTACGTCGGCATGTCGGCATACAGATGTCCGAAATGTCCTCATCATCATTAATCCTTAATTAATTAATGTCCTCATCATCAATGTCGTTATTACGAGTGCAAGGAATGTAACGTAGGACTGTGTGTAGATCCCTGTTTTCAAATTTTTCATACGAAAAGAAAATTTTAAATAATATATTTTGTTTTCAGATGTATAATGTTAAAAGTCATAAAATGGTGAGTAATGAAAATAAAATGTGTAAAATATGCATTTAAACAAGAACTAAGGTAATTAAAGTATATATAAAAATATCTATAAAGCATAAGCGGTTTAAATACTCTATAGAGAATTATTAAACAATAAATCGGAAATTTCATGGATTTAGGCTTAATAGCAAAAAAGCCCCCGGCCCTGGACAGACGTTCGCGTAAGACACTGCGGGGCTCCGCGATAAGCGTGCGTTTGCCCTACCCTGCGCGAAGGAGTAACTGGTGTGTAAATGAAGGTTTACTTAGTAGCCATTATTAAGTGTCCTGTTTGTAGGAAGAAAATGCGTATGGTCGAACGTCGGACGATACCGGCACTAAGAAGGATATTTTTTTGAATTTATGTGGCAACGCCAGTATATAGATTACAGTTCAGATAATTTTAGGAAATTTTTAGATGCTGTTAAGGAATTTTGGTTGACTGAAGACACGTAAATTCGTAAATAAGGTAAGTGAATATAACCTTTGTGTAGTGCTAAGATGAATTTCCTTTTTTATGTTATTTCATTGTTTGATTTTAAATATAGTTTATTGAGATTATATATTTTTGTTGGACTTTTTATTATATATTTTTGTTATACCTTTGGCTTTTTAAGTGAATATAGATCGATGTGTACATGGTTACACAAAGCCAAAATAACAAGTCAAAGAATTGCACAAACTTGGTGTCCATGTACCGCCAATTATCACCAAGGGGTGCCCGTAAATATAATTTTACCTAAGTTTATTATGATACATTGTGGCTTATGTAATGTTACACAGCATCCAGTCATATTGTGGCTTATGTAATGTTACCCAGTCTCCAGTCATAACGTTCTAGTTAATGTGCAATAAGTAGTTGTGATAGTAGTATGCGATTGGCATGTAAAGTTCTGAATTGCATTTGCAAAGGCACGTTGACTGAGTAAGGCAAGTAATACTGTGATCTAAATTTATCAGGAAGTATGGCATTGCTCCTTTTATGTTCTCCTGCTGCAGGTGGCCAATACATCTAGCTGGCAAGAGAAAGACTTGTAATTTGAATCCCGGCAAGAGTACCGTTTACTTTTCTTGCTCTGGAAGTTAATGATCTGTACAAATTTCCCGATGTGTTCTATCACCTACCAGCTAAGCATTCTGACAGTATTTAACATTCGAATTTTCTTTAAGAAGAAACCCTTTACTTTACACCACTAAATACTATTTCGGAAATATTGGCGGGTAATAATTCACATATGTGAGATGCTTGTACCATTTATGCTGACCTGACCAATTTCCTCCGGTAACTAACTTTTTTTAACTTTTTTCTTAGCAGAATTCATTTCCATAGTTAGCACAATATAAGATTCAAAGAACTCAAATTTAATTTAGAAAAAGAAATACTGTTGTTAGAAATGCTTTGGAAAATTTAATTTTGGTTTTAAATTCTTCTATGAGAATCAATCAGGGCAGCGTTTCTCAAACTGTGGTGATCGAAGCCTGCCCTTGTGGTCGGGCTTGATTTGTAAAAATGTCTTGTTTGTAAATGAATTTAATAAAATTTTACGCCCATCTTTTGTATGACCTTTTATAAGTACGTCGGCATACCTTGCAGATGTATTCTCGAAATGAAATGATCTAAATCTCTGCCCACAAGTTAATTCTTTGACTGCTCTCAATGACCATGAAAACCTTTTGAGAGGAAACTTGGTTTCTGGGCCCCTTGTGTAAAATAGAGAAACTTTACATCATTTTCAATTTTAGAATCTATTTTAGCAGAAAATAAGAGCGTTACTAGAAAACAATTATGCAATGACATACTTGTATGTTCGGTTATCGAAATTCTGAGGTCACACTTTGAAACTCCTTTTCTAAGTCGTAAATACAACAAATTTTCTTGATTCTTCCCACTGCGAGTTTGAAAATACCAAACTGTCTGTGAATGAAAGATGACAGTTAACTGAACTTTCTTATAAGACCAGACGTAAAATGAAACTCCAAGCAGAAAGTATTGTTATTTTCTTGACCTGTTGCCATTGAAAACGGAAGTGTACAATAGGGCTTTGAAATTATAATTATGTTTACTTGTACGTATCTGTAGGAGAATGAGGCATCATCACTAACTCATATAAAAGCAAATGACGGAAACTGACTTGACGTATGTGCCAATCTCAGTCTTAAGCTTTACCAGCATACAACCAAATACAGAACAGCTGAGCAAGAATCGGCAGGCTCATCCATATTTTTAATATAACAACATTTATTTAATTTTGATTTAATATGATAATTATTTAAAAATCTAATATCGTTGTGTCGCTGTCATACAATTTCATTTTCATAAGCAGTTTCTAGCAAAGGAAAGGTTGCAGTTCTGTAGCTCCTTACTCACCAGTGGCACGTGTAGACTAATTTTTCTTCCTAAAGTGAAGTCTAATCTCAGAAGTGATTACTTTAAGATCATGAAGAGATTCAAAAACCTTTAACCATAGACTAAGCGCGTGAGTGACAGGTTTTGCCCAGTGATATTTGTTGCTACTTTGCAACACAGAACTGAATTTCGGAATCGCGCCTTTTAGTAGCTTGTGTGGATTCATTTATCTGACAGTTAATTTTTATTTTAAAGCAACTTTAATTTGATTCTTTTCTTTTTTCAAACTACGTTTCATTTCTTGTTAAAATATCAAGAAACTAGCGCGCGTGTATTCAAATACTGCAGAAAGTAGTATTATTTATGGAAAGGTTTTGGAAAGTGATCTTAGAGCATGTTATGCCTGCTTGAAGGCCACGTTGCTTTCTTGATTTACTAGCGATTAAATTTCTGTGGTGTTGAGCGCTTATAGCCATTAGGCTTGTTACGCCCGAATTTTACGAGTCAGAGCCATCCTGCGCGTTAAATTATCCTATGAGCCGTTAGACTAAACTTTAAACTCTAAACTCTGCATTTAATTTAAAGTTCAGCGTTATTTTTTAAGTACAGCCAAAAGTGATGGTTTCTTTCTTTCAGCATCGGTGCCATCTGTGATTGTATTGAGTTAATAAAGGGTTTTTTACAACCTTCTCTGGACTTTGCCGTACTTAAGACTTGAGGATAATTCCTCACACAGACTTTTAGTGTTTCGTTAGTTTATGCTTGAGAAAACCAAGAGGCGCTATAAGCTGAACGTTAATTGTTGGTGCTTGTTGTGACGATATTAGCATAAAAATGATTTTACTTGTTCTAGACGCATTTTAATAAGTATAATTGTGCAACATAAAAGTACGAGCCTATGGCAAAATTAAACAGCATTCCAAAAAATGAGTCCTCTGAAGGAATCAAGCAGTTGCTAAATTTGCCAAACGCTTGCATAGAATTACATATATAGCGTAATGAAAGATAAGAAGTGAGAAAATATTTTTCAACTCTTATATATGTACGAACTTAGTATCAAATACCAACTCAGATACCAACTTTTTCTACTGTTATTCTGTTCTTCTTACGAATAATAATTATCACTAATAAATTGTCTAGCTGAAAAATAAATTCAGTTTTCTGTGAATATGCATGCGTAGTAAAAACGTCATCTGTTGTTGACTTTATTCATTTTTTTAATCATTTACAATTAAATTTCAGCTTAATACAGGGAACTAATAATCACTTAATAATAATAAAGAACAGCATGTTTTCTGCAAAAGGAACATAGTTATCCTGACTAAAATAGCAATTATTTAAATTCATCTGCACGTTTTCTTAATTTTGCATTGTGAGATGTGTAATTCACATAATAGTAATCCGACTTAAGGATCCAATTATGGAATATGAACTTCAGTACGAAAATAAAATAATTAATTATAAAAACTACAGATGCTCTTTGAAAAAGAAAATTTTTGAAAAAAATTGTGCATCAGTGAAAACTCAGTGAAAAGAGAATAATGGAGATTAGAAAAAGAAATCTTGAGCTTGCAGAATTAACGAAACTAATCAACGGAACGGTCTAATTTGCAGGTAAACTAAATGAATTAACCAACGAATCCCTTTGTCGGAACGGAAAAAAATCGCCTTTCAGCACATTAAAAAAATAATGAATAACAAATTAGGAAATAAAACATAATAATTACTCCATTTTAGATTATATGTTATTAAATCTAATAGAGAAGAAAAAATCTTGTTTTCTTTACACTTAATAAAAGAAATAGAACATTGATCTGGTTAAACCCACTCTTAATTAAAAATTGAGCGTGACTCTTAGTGATTGACCTATTTAATAAATAATCTTCGGCAGTTATTTGATATTTCCTTTCATTTGGCCAGAATTCATTCCCCTTATATCAGATAATCTGGATTGCACTATGCTTGCCAACAAAGAAGATCTTGCAATCTTGCTTGAATTCTCGTTGTTTTTAGAAAAACATAGTTGAATCTGCTGCTCACCAATGTAAAAAGTAGCCGCTGAAACGCCCTAGTAGGTAAATAAAAGTCTGATGTGTACATCACATGACTTCCTTGTACGGAATATTAAATTACGAACTTTTCCTGCATTTCATTTAAAATTCTTTCCTCGAATTTCATTCGAGATACATTTCTCATCATTAATTCAATTCTCACTTCCCAACAAAGGCAAATAATGTATAAAAACTCCGAAAATCTCATTAAATTGAAAGATATAGAAAACATAAACACTAATACAGTTAAAACAATAAAAGAAAACAATTTTTGTAATTAAAATTACTCGTACATTTCTTTCGCAAAACAAGCAATTCGGCCAGCAGGCAAGAAGGCAGATTTTTCGGTGCCAAAACTAAAGGTTTTCTTTTGGCCTCACTCGGTAAAAAGACACTGAAGGTACAAAAAGAATTAATTCACTATTCCGCTAAGTTTCAAATGTAAGCAAATATGGCTGCTATGACAAAAAAAAATTAGGCTTAGCCCCACTTAAACAATATTTGAAGTGTTCATAATTCTACAACTATTGTATGCAGATTAACTAAAGGCATTAATCGGAAGATAAAAATAACATAATTATATCATTTTTAAAGAAAAAATACACAATTTGACAACATATAAGATTAAAAAACTGAGCTCACTCTTCGCGCCTTATGTAAATTTTGATTTTGTTCTCTGCAAGAGGGCTCCTGCTAGCGCCATGCTATAACTATTGTACGAACTTGTTCTTCTCACGGCCAATAAACGCAATAACGAACGTTTATGTCTACTTTGCATACATTCTACATGGTCCGTCGATAGCCAGCGCAATACGTTAGGATGGCGTGTCAAGACATTTGAACGTTCTAATATAGAAGGATATTTCGTGCAAAGAAAACGGATTATTTTGTGTCTGGATTGTGAGAATAGCACCTGAAACATGGAGTCTATTTTAAAGCAAAAGCGAATCATTAAGAGTAAGTTGACTCGCTTAATTTCACAAGTAAATAGTTTACAAATTCAAGAAAATTCTTTTTCTGTCATTGAAAGTGTGTGAAAATGATGTTAGTGCATTGGGTGTTGAAGTGAACAGTTTAAACGATAACATCTTAGTACTTGTTCTGACGCAGAGTTTAATAAGTATGAAATAGAAATAGAAATGCATGAACTGTTTTTCAAATTGGATGTATTAAAAATTACTTTAAAGGAAGAATCAAGAAAACTTACTAATTCATGTCAAGATGTAAAGAATGCTAATGAGAATGCTTTAAAACTTCCTCGCCTAGAACTGCCAGCGTTTACTTCAAATTACGTTGAGATTGGATATCATTTAGGGATTTATTTCTTGCCAGTGTTGGAAATAAATATTTCTTGCCAGTGTTGGAAATAAAGTGACAGTCAAAATTTGCAATATCTTAAGCTTTCTGTGAAAGGTGAAGCTGCCGTTTTACTACAATCAGTTCAAATTTCAAACGCGAATTATGAAAAGGTGTGGAAAGCGCATACTGAACGTTATGAGAACGAAATAGAAATAACAAACGCAGCGTTGAATAAATTAATTTCACAGCCTGTTCTTAAACATTAATCAGCTTCAGGTTTGCGGAGATTAATTTATACAAGACAACAGTGTATTGATGCATTAAAAATCCTTAAACAGCCAATACAGCATTGGGATACTATGATTATTTTTCTGTTAAAATGAAAACTTGATCATGGAACACTAAGAGAATGGACGTTGAAGCAAACAAACGAAAACATTTCTGCTTTCGCTGAATTCAAACTCTAGTTGGGTAATTTATGCGTTCTTTGTAAGAGCAATTCTCATTCTCAATTATTTAAATGGGATAACTTTTAAAAACTCCCTATCAAAGAAAAATGGGATATTATTAAAAGGAATAAATTATATGCTAATTATTTGAAAGAAAGTAAAACGCATCTCATTTTTAAATGTCGTGGAGGCATATGTAAATCTTGTTCAAAGCCACATAATATAGTGTTATGTTCGAAAAATTCAAATGATAAAAAATTTCATACACCCTCGCAACTTATTATTATTGCTATTTAGTAGCTATTACTAGCAATAACGCCACGGTGCCCGTCACGCAGGCAGTTTTATTGCCTACTGCGGTTGTTTATGTTAAAGATATTAATGGCGATTTATGAAAATGCAGGATGTTAATTGAAACAGATAGCCAGGGCTGATTTATTTGGGAGCGCTGTGTAAATTTATTGCAGCTAAAGCGTACTAGTGCAAATGTAAGTATAAATGGCCTGAGTCGCAAAAAATTGGAATTTCAAGCTCAGTTCAATTACAAGTAACATCACCATTTTATAAAAATGCAAGCATTTCAGTTAATGCATTAATTATAACCCAAGATTACATGTGACCTTCCTACATATCAAGTTGATAGGTCTGTTTTGACAGCTTTTAACACTTGCGGTTGGCAGATACAAATTGCTTAAAGCCTGGCCAAATAGATATTCTTTTAGGCGCAGATGTATTTGACGAGATAATGCTTCATGGACGTTTCACTGTTCCGGGACATTCATTAACAGCCTTGGAATCAATATTCAGTTGGGTCATTATCGACAAGACGAAATGTGTATCACAAACAATTATACTAATTATGCTAGTTGTACCAATGTTCAATTTCAGCTCGAAAAGTTTTGGAAATTAGAAGAAATTTCGGAAACGTTCAGTACGTACAGCCTTACACAGAGGAAGAAATTGAGTGTGAAAATCATTTGAAGCAGAATTTTTCTCTTGACTCAACAAGTAGATTTGTTGTAAAGTTTTCATTTCATAGTTCTAGCAGTGAACGTAGGTCATCTAGGGATGTTGCTGTCCATTATTTACAACACACTGAACGTCAATTTATTAGGAATAAATCTCTTTCCAGTCGGTACCGCAAATTTATGGAGGACTATCAACAACTTGGTCATAGCGAATTGATTCCAAAAAACGAAATTCATGTTCCAGCTAATTCTAGTTTTTACCTTCCGTACCATTCTGTTCCGGATAAAAATGGTGATAAATTTCGAGTGGTATTTGATGGTTTTGCTAAATCTTCTAGCGGTATTTCTCTTAATGAGAAATTGATGATTGGTCCACAGTTACAGACTGGTCTGACAACATTAATTATTCGTTTCAGAATCCACAGAATAGCTATAACTGCGGACATTGAGAAAATATACAGACAAATCATACTACAAGGTGCAGACTTTCAAAGAATAGTCTGGCGCGATTCACCTTTTAAACCAATTCAAGAATTTCGGGTCCCACCAGCGGCCGAGCGGTAGAGACGCTGAACACTGGTATAGTTCGGTTCGAGGTTCGAATCCCGCGAATGGGCAGGCTGCATGGGCGTATTTGTGGTTTTCCCCATGTATAACGTGCATACGAGCCAGTTTCCCTTAGAAAGTCCTCCACGAAAGCATCCCTTCCCTTAAGCAGATAGCCCGCGTTTGCTTTGTCATAATTGGTCATAGACCCATTAACCCATTCAGGATTTTCGATTAAATAGGATTACTTACAGCACTGCATCAGCACCGTACCTTGCAGTAAAATGTTTACAGCAGTTAGCAATAGAAGAAGCAGATAATTTTCCTTTGTCTTCCAAGACATGCCTTAGAGACTTCTACGTTGATGATTTCATGTCCGGAGCCAGTTCAGTTACTGACTATAGAATTACAAATGCAATTGAATCAGAGTTTGTCACGTGCAGGATGTTCTCAAGAAAAATGGACTACTAACAGCAAAGAAGTCTTGACTTCAATTAATCCAGATTTGTGCTTAACAAATGTTTCTTTGAACATAGACAATGATGATGCTGTAAAACCGTTAGGTATCCTGTGGCATCCAGTTTCAGATATGTTTTTCTTCATCCCTTAAGTCTTAAACGAACATTACTTTTAACAATCTCAAAGACCTTTGACCCTCTTGGATGGTTGGCACCGATCACAGTTCGGTATAAATTGATCATGCAGAAGTTGTGAAAGCATCAGTTGCAGTGGGATGAAAAGGTTCCTCCAGATATTGCATGTAAATGGAAACAACTTACAGAAGATATATTATTAAAAAGCATCAAAATTTAACGATTCTTGTTGGTGGAATCAGATAACTAGTTTCAACTTCACGGGTTTTGTGACGCCTCAGAGAAGGCGTATGTCGCTACAATTTATTACCGTTCTGTGTCACATACTGCACAAATCCATGTTCAATTGGTGATAGCCAGGACAAGAGTTGCACCACTAAAAGCCATATCCTCTCGATTGGAACTTTGTGGAGCATTCCTGTTCACTAAATTGATGGACTTCACCAGTAAAGCTTTGGATACTCCTATAGCACAGGCTATTTTCATACCGATTTCACTTTGTACTGGCCTGGGTAGATCTCATGCAAAGCCGATGGAAGACTTCGTCGCCAACAGAGTAGCAAAAATCCAGACTTTGTCTCTCCTGTACAGTGGCATCATGTGAGTGGAAATACTAATCCCTGATATGCAACTCGTGGGTGTCATCATCGTACTGGTTCTTCATTGTGGTTGCGTAATCCAGATTTATTGCATGATTTATTTCCTTTTCAGCCAGCATCATCTGCACCACTACTGAATGATTCTGTGTCCGAGCAAAGATGGACTTTACAGTCAACAACTGCTGCCAGTCACTTGAAGACGTTCATGATTTATTTTATAAATATTCCTCTCTCACCAAACTTAAACGTGTTATAGCATTATGTCTGAGGTTTGTAAATAACTATAGAAATTCAGGAGAGGAGGTAAATGGATTTTTAAAAACTAGTGAGTTAACTAAAGCTATGCATGTGTTAATTAAAATAGTTCAATATGTTGAATTTAATAATGAAATCAGCCCTTTAAACAGAAAACAATCATTATCCTGTACAAGCAAAATTTTATCTTTAAATCCATTTTTAGATTCAGGTTTCTCAGGGTGGGCGGTCGCTTGCGACAGGCAAACCTTGCATATGGTTTTAAGCATCCCATTTTGCTGCCAAAAAGGCACATTATAACTCATCTCCAGTCGTAGACATTACCATGAAGTACTTTTGCATGCAGGTGCATAACTCATGCAATCTTGCATTCAAGAACAATATTGGATCATAAATGCTAGAGCTGTTATCAGAGATTTAGTTATAAAATGTATAAAGTGTTGCAGAATTAGAGCATCTGTTACTAATCAATTGATGAGCGATTTGACATCTAGTCGCGTTTCTCCTGCGTTTTTGCTCTGTGGAGTGGATTACGCAGGTCCTTTTCAAATTAAAGCAAATAAGGTTCGAGGATCTAGGTCATTCACGGCATATATAACTCTATTTGTTTGTTTTACGACAAGAGCTATTCACTTAGAATTAGTAACTGATCTTTCAGCAGATGTTTTTATTGCAGCCCTTAAGAGGTTCATTTTCCACAGGGGCAAAAGCAGTGATATATATAGCGATTGCTGTTCCAATTTTGTTGGAGCAAAACGCAGACAAAGAGAATTTGAAAGACTTGCTAGATCTGCAACTTATAACCAAAACGTTAGTAGATATTTGGTTGATAATGGCATTAAATGGCATCTAAACTTTCCAGGTGCGCCACATATGGGTGGAGTCTGGGAAGTGGGTATAAAATCAACAAAATATCATTTAAAGCGAGTAATTGGTGAGGCGGGATTGACATATGAAGAATTTGAAACATTTCTCACACAAATAGAAGCTTGTCTTAACTCGCGACCTTTAACAAATTTATCTAATGATCCAAACGATATATCAGCATTGACGCCTGGTCATTTTCTTATTTGGTAGATCATTAACAAGTATTCCTGAACCAAATTACATTGAAGTTAATGTTTACCATCTCACTAAATGGCAACATATTCAAAAAATGGTTCAACAATTTTATAAGCGTTGGCACAAAGAATATCTGTGTCGATTACAACAAAGACGAAAATGGCTTTTGCCAACTAAAAATCTTCAAGTTAATGATCTGTGTCTCATAAACGAGGATAACTTACCTCCAACTAAATGGAAAATGGGTAGAATTACTCAGTTACATCCTGGTCTTGACAATATTGTTAGGGTTGTGACTATTAAAACTTCAGATAGCATGCTCAAAAGAAATATTACAAAAATGTGTCCAGTACCAATTTGAGTTTTAATGCATATGTATTATAAATTAAGTATTATATCATGATTTTAATCTGGTATTGTGTTTTTGAATTTGCAGAATTTTAACTACTGAATTTTGAAATAGTATTTCAAGGTGGGCGGCATGTTCACGCCTTATGTAAATTTTGATTTTGATCTTTCCAAGAGGGCCCCTGCGAGCGCCAAATTATATCCTATTATGGGTATATACTTTTGATGCAGCCGATTGGAACCAAAAAGGGAGGTGCACAGCTACAGGTTTGCTATAACAAACTTTCATACAGACAAAATTTCAACGTTCTGAGACTACCCTTTTTTGACTTATGCGAGATACATACTTACATACGCACGTACGTACGTACAGAAGCCACGAAAAAATTCTCTTCTGAATCCATTTTAAATCAGTTTTATAATTCGTTTGGGGAAAAGAGCCCTTTATTCTTGCCTCATGTACAGATGTCTCGCAAAACATCGTTAAATTGCATTCGAGAGCGGTCAAAATGGATATTTTCGTTGAAATATGATACCCGGAATTTTTCTTGGTTACAATACTTCCTTTACATCGTACAAAGAAGTAAAAATGTAAAACATATAATTATAAAAGTCTCTTTAGATATTTTACTAAGTTCCAAAATGCTCCATGCTGAAACTCCTTTCTTTACAAGTTCTTTACGAGAATATCTGTGCTTGGAACGAAAGTTTGAAATAATAAATAAATAGATGCATATGGAAATTTAATTTGCAGGTATCTATCAATGCATGGAGCCTCATTCATTTATGTTATATTATTTGTCAGAGCATTTATTTTCAGTCAGTAGTTGCTCTTGATTTTACGTTACTTGATATGAGTGGTTACAGTCGAATCATCCTTAAAGGTAAAATTTTAACGAACAGTTCCTGAATATCCAAAACCTTGAAAGAGAAGACAATTTCACTCCCATTTTGGGAATACTCATGATAACAAACAATAAAATCCCTTTGAATGTACGCTAATAAAACACTCGACTGAACATATGCCTTTTACCAATACGAAACTATTTTAAAAGTAGGCTAAAAAAGCAGCTAAAAGAAATAAAGAAAGTTTTCATATTTTATATTACACCTAAACGGGCGCTTTTTTTTCATTTACAAATGCATACACGTTTTGAGAGCATTTGGGGTGAAAATATGTTTTCTAAAAACATATCTTTAGAATATCTGATAGACAGTCTCGCGCGCTGGAGATAAAAATGTTTTATTCGCTACAGTGTTGTCACTGCTTGCTTTAAAATCCTTAAGTGTTTCAATCAAAAATTCGTTAAAGTTTTACAATATATGAAATAGGCAATAAAACAAATTTCAAATTCCGTCTTCCAGGTGCTCATATTCGGGTGGAGGACTAAGTTATTGACAATTTAATGGTTCTAGGTACCGTTGTTTTTTCACTGTGTGAGAAACATACATACGTCCATGCAGATTCTTCATTATTTCATTTCTTTAAATATAATACAGGGCGATAATATGTGGTGGCAATAATTTGAAAAGTTGATTCAGACTTTATAGCGATTCAACGTAAAAATCCCGTTTTGAGATTAATAGCTTTTCTTGGCTAATGCCATTTAGGCTAAAAAGGCTACAAATATTTTGTGACCAATAACGAAGAAACGAACAAATGTTTTAGATAACGACTTTGTGTGTACTGTCTAAAACACTTATTTTTTTCACTTAAAAATATTATTGAAACAGAACTGCAATCAAGATCCTTTTACTTTAACTATGAGTCCAGAAGTGTAACATGTGCTTAAATATAATATTTTTGTCTTTCTTTAGAAATGAAATTTTTTGGCATTCTATCTTTATGTAGACCATCGAATGGAAATAATTATGCGCCAAATAATATAAATGTTTCCATTCGAAAGGAAATAATTATGCGCTAAATAATATAAATGTTTCGATCGAAACTATATAAGAGATGGATAAGGGAACCAGTCCATTTACAGTGGCTCATAATTGTTTTCGGATGCTTGTATGTTTGAAATTTAGTTGCGTATATAATATACTAAGTACTGAAACAGATACTCCAAATATTTTTCTTATACATTATTTGTTTGATCCTTGCTTATTGCAAACTAAATATCATCGAAATATTCCTTGTAAAAAATAATCAATTCAA